TTAAAATTATTAGGTGGTACTACTAAGTCAGGCTGATTTTGCAAAGATGCACTAGAAGATATAACATTTTCTTCATTATTAATCAGTTGTGCAGTAGGAAAATTAGCTTGTGGATGTATATTGTTTATTGAAGGAAATATTTGGTCAAATTGTCTAAAAAGATAATTATTAATCTTTAACCAATTAGCAGCACTATTAAAGAATGGTGAAACCAATTATTATTGGATGAATTATTTAATATTGCTCCTAATGTTTCAGAATAAAGTTGTAAAGCACAAGTATTTTTTGTTAATCCAAATGAACCTGTTAGATGACGATAGTGTGTAAATTGATTTGCATTTTCAGCACGTCCAAGAGAGCAATTTAGATAAACAGGAGAAAGCCAACGTTGGTGAAACATTGGAACATTGATTATTGCTTCAGGAATAGTTACTAATGTTGGTGCATTATGCCGTTTAGCAGTAGTCATGCATGGAACGCATACTGCAATATAATCCTCTTTGTTAGGATGTTTGGTAAGTGGTAAATATGGAAAGGCACGGCATAGATCATATACTATATTAATATCACAAGGAATCCACTTAGCTTGATCTGGAAACATAAGAATTGAACAATGTGAACAGGGGACACATGGAAACATATATAAAATTTCATTTTGAAATCGATTATTAAGACGATTTAAAGAGGGTGAAGGTTGCCATGGAGGAAAAGAATTTATAGGATCTTGTTGCAGTTGTGCATCTAATAATAAGTTAGGAGCCCGTGGATGATTTGTATTAACATTTATTCGAGCTTGGTAACTTGATATAAAATCGTTACTTAATTCATTATAAAGATCTCCATCATCTAAATTTTCAACGGTTATTTGAATTATCGGAAGTGATATCACAAGTAAATAACAAAAAGAGTAACTAAAAATATGGTAACAATTTATTAAAACTAACACGAGATCAGAATTTAATGTAACAAAGACAGGGTAAAAAGAAGTATAGCTAATCAAAAATAGAGGTCAATACAAAGCAAATGAGTCAAAGACGTAACTAAGATGATATAATAATAATTAAGAGTTTATACAGTAAATTTTATATAATCATTTCAATAAATTATCAATTTACAATAGTAATGGGGTGAAAAGGTGTATATATTAATATATCAGCCCAAAACTGCAAATATGTAATGCGATTTCCTTAAGAAAAGGGATTCTTATCATTCTTTCGATCTTAGCACAACATTCAGTATCTTTATCATCAAGGATTTTTGTGAATATGTCACAGCCGACAGAATGTTCACAGATGATATTATAAGCCTCATATTATGATCGATCATTACATAGATTTTCGATCACAATGCACACAGCATAAACCGGCGTTATTTACAAAATTGGAACGTGATTATAATTAATAGCCTACAAATAAGAGATTAGAAGGGCTTTACATGTAGCCGAGATAGCTGTGTATATTTGTTATTCGAATTCAAACGGTAATTTGCCAAATTGTAAAAAAGCCGATAGGATAGAAAACGTACCAGGCTTAGCCATATGGATAAACTCAAATTTAGTTACATCGAGACACATTTTAAAGTGGGTTCGGGTCAAAAAACCAAACATAAGAATCTCGAGAGGGTCAAATTTCTTAAAAAATTGCCAACATTAAAACAATTCTGACAACTTTGTAAGGAATTTGACACTGTCAGAATTATGTTTAACAGTATTTTAACGTGAACTTTCTTAAAGCCAATAATACTAATAAAAATAACGGGATAAGCCACATGTTAGAACCGAATTGCATCAGCGTAAAGCCACATAAAGCCATTCGAATCTCGAAAGAGAGGGGCAAATAAAACGAACATATAAAATAAACATAATATATTTAAAGAGGAAATATATTATAGCGAATTGACTTAAAATTAAATTTAGTATAGAGATTCTGGTCGAGTTGCTAATTAGGTCATATAAATTTTATTAGTAGTTAACATTACTTCATCTTACGAAAGAGAGGAGCAAAAAAAAACACAAATAAATAAAATAATACCAGGAACGGTGTGATATTGAAAATTTACGTAGTGTATGGTTATAATGGTTATAATACGAATCAATGGTGTGCGTCCGCAAAATCTTAAGTTTAATTGGATGTTGAAAGTGGCAAAGCATTGGTGTGAATGCATATCGAGATCTGTAGTATAAATTAAGTAGAATTTGATTATATATCAAATATATAATATGCGTAATTATATAGTGTACAGTAAAAATTAATACGCGTATATCGATATATGATATAAATTAATATGTATAAATCGTGAAAGAAACCCTTGAAAAGGATTTTTACCTGTAACATATATTATAAAAAATAAAAGATATATTAGAACTAATGTTGTTGGGCAAAACCATTTTGGAAAATGGCGAAAGGCGAAACCTAAATCGGCGAAAGATGAAAGATGAAACCTGCGGAAACTTGGTGAAACCGCAAAATCTGGCGAATCCCCTGGTGAAAGCCGAAAGTCAAAACTCAGCGAAGATCAAATCATCTGAGACTTTGGAAGTATAGCTGTTAGGTGAAACCTAGTGTTGTCAGGCGAAACCTAGTTTCGACTTTCGCAAAAAAAAATCAAAATGGCGAAAATGGTGAAAGGTGACGAAACTGGCGAAACTGACGAAACTAAATAATAGGTGGCAAAACTGGTAAAAGATGATGAATCTAGTAAAAGAGGCAAGAATAAAAAATAATTAAAGAAATTTAAACCACTTTTATATATTTATTAATCTTTTTGTTAATACATATATAGTTGATATCATGTATTATTTATGTTATCAATTTACTAATCTTGTCTTACTAACAGTCAATTTACCAACCAGCTCATTTTACTAACAATTAGCAATAATTATAATTACTTTGTTAGAAAAATAACTATCAATAAAATAAACTATTGGTGTATTAAACTATTGATGAATTAAAGTGTCAGTAAAGTGAGTATTGATAAATAAAAAGAACCCAAATGTGTTTTGTCAAAAAAAATTCAGGAAGCTGAACTACAGAAAAGAAAGCAATAACAGTAAAACTGTATTCATGACTATTACACCTATTTCTTAAAGTTAGCATGAAACTTAGTGCTAGATAAATTAGAGAACCGGAAATAATTTTCAGTAATAATAATGTTAACGAACTACTTACATACGTATAGTACTTAAAGGAAGTGTTAAAGAGAAAAAAACTTAACAATATAACAATAATATTTTATTAAATATTTAGACAAATTTATTTTTCATGACCGAGTTGATTTAATTATAAATTCAAAAGCCTGAAGTATAATTTTCTTTTAATATTATTCAAATACAAACAAAAAGCTAACACATTACTTGTTTTTGTACATTTTTTTATATAAACCATATACTATGTTTATTAGCCACGCGCAAAATATTTTGATTCACTAACATGGAGGAATTGATATTTGACCTTCTCTAGGAGTTTCAACTTTACAAATGGTTTCGATATGGTTTTGCCGTTTCGCCAGAATTATCTAATTTAATCTTTTGCCGGGTTTAGTTTCGTTCTCAACATTTTACAAAAATAGTATCACCTAACAGCATTAAACCACACGCAAATTATCTTCATCAAAAGCTTAAAGCCTAATTTTCTTTTAATAGTATTCGAATACCAAAGAAAGTATCACTTTATTTATTGATTTTCTTATACATTTTTTATATAAACCACACGCTGTACTTAATAGCTATGCAAAATGTTTTTATTCACCAAAATCTTTTCCAAAGTTTTAGAGGATTTGATCTTCACTGAGTTTTTACTTTATACGAGGTTTCAACAGGTTCCCCAGTCTCGCCAGGTTTTGCCAGTTTTGCCGTAGAAGTTTGTATTTCATCTTTCGCCAGGTTTAGGTTTCGTCTCTCGCCATTTGCCCAAAATAGTCTCGCCTAACAACATTAGCGATCACATCATTTTAAAGCATGCATGCAGCGACCACAGACTGAAATTTTTGGCTTACTAGTTTCCCAAAGATCCTATCAGTCGAATGCAAATTTAATCCCTCATCAAATAAAATAAATAATTGATCAGATGGCTTAAAAATTAATATGAAAAAGCATTGATCGAATAATTGGTCTGTGATTGTTATTTCTGTAAAAATTAAATTTTTATGTTTCTTACCCATTAATCATAGTTTTTTAGCTCTACAAATCAAATATAAAAAACAATTTGAAAGAACTTTTCTCAGCAGCTTTTCTTGAATCTTTTCATGCAACTGAAATAAACATGCAGTGTATAGCACAAATTATATTATAAATTGCATCATAGGTTATTTTCAATCAGCTTAATTGTATGAAGTTTTTGATTATACCTACATAAAGAACTTTAAAATTATGAATTATCTAATTTGAAAATTTTGGGATACGAATCGTTTAGATTTTTGAGTATAGCTAAACATAAATTATATTTATTTCGATCTATTAAAAGACATCTTTTACTTTGACAAACAAACATTTTAATATTTTATCAAAGATTTCACAAGCGAGAAAGTTGTATCATCCCATATTAAGAAATTAAGAATGAAAAATTAAAAAATATGTTTAAAATTAAACATTTGAAACTTTACTTATTTTTTTTTTTTTCTTTTTATACAAATTAATATAATTAATATGATATAATACACGATATATTTATAGTATAATAAAATTTGATAATGTGATAATACATAACAATAGTTTAATCTAAAATAAAAAATTTACATTATTGCAAAAAAATAATATCAAAAACCATCATTTAATGATAGGTTCAGAATCTAGTACAGTAATAATAATTAAAGTGATAGAACGAGAAATGTAGCAATAACACAAAAATAGATATATTTAAATTAGCATAAAGATGAACGTACAATATATAATACACAAAAAGAAAAAAAACAATATAAATTTTTAGTAAATAAAAATCAAAGCGAAATGAAATATAAACAAATATTATTTGTTACGGCATAGCTATTTTATGAGAACATTATATTCATAAACGAAGTACCTTTACATTATCATCTTGTCTTTACATTTCCTTTTCTTTTTTTTGTTTGTCTCTGTTTTTTAGCAGGTTTTTGTTCCTCTAAATCAACTGCCTCATCATCAGGTTCTATATCATCACTTTCATCAGGTTCATTAACATCATTACTAACATTCAAATCGAGACAATCCAGAGCCAAATCAGATAACCTTTTTTTACACTTTGAAAGCTGAGTTGTTTCATTACTAGCAGGAGATAAATCTGAATTAGAAGTAACAGACTTATTTAAATTATACACGGAGGTCGTACTATATGAACCGTGTGAACTAGTAGTTAACTTGCGACCTTTTTTTGGTGCCTGTGATGTTTGCGATGCTTGAGATTCAATCTCATCAATAATCATATCAAAATCTGAACGATGACCTGAAACAGGGTGCTCTCAAGCATCTCCCTGAGTGTGATTAGATAGTGATTAAGATGACGCTCAATCAATACAATCAATTGGTATAAAGATCGCGATCAACGATTGAGCGAATTCTTTTCTATTACGATTAATTATTATGTCGACAAACAAAAAAAAAAAAGTATCGTCCCAACAAACAAAAAACATATTACCATTACCAGCAACTTCGAATGTATCTGTCCCAACAACTTCAAGCATGCCTGTTATTTCTTCCACTATTCCAAATGTTTCCATTATCCCTTCGGTTACTCACAATACTCCTGTCACTCCTTTTACGGATTTTACTAATCTTCATATGCTGCTACAGCAACATTATCCTTCTGCGCAACTATTTAATTCTTTAGTTTTAAACAAAACTAATAATGAAAGTGAAGAGGTATATAATTGAATTTTTTAAAAAATTTTGTAAAATTGTATGATAATTGTTAAAAAAAAATTTTAAATAACCTTTTTTTTAAGCCTTCTATTATTGACAATAGTCAATCCCCTATTACAAGTCAAGAAAATTTAAAAAGTATAGATGATTCATCTAACACCAATACTACTTCAGGAAATAAACAAAATAATCGATGGACATCATCCGAAATTAGAATGTTAATTGACGAAGTTGGAAACAATCAACAAGCATTACAGCACGTAAGGGATCCACGTGAAAAAGGCCGTATTTGGGACAAAATTGTTTCGAATATTCAAGATTCCACTTCAAGTATTATTTTAAAAGAGCGTTCCAAAACTTCATTTCAACAAAAATGGGATTCTCTCCACCAAAAATATCGTAATATCAAAGATATTATCAAAAATACGGGTGAAGAAGCAATCCAAAATGATTGGGAATTCTTTAAGGATATGGATAAATATTTAAAGAACGATCCAAGTATTGAAGCGCCAATTACAAGTGACTCAATTAATGGAATTAAACGTAAAGGAAAAAATAATACTGATAATTATGAAGACGATGAGGTAATAATTTATTTTCTTTCTTAGCACGGATATATATACAATTTATATTTATTGTTTTATAAATATAGCCTAACACTAAAAGACGAAAAAGTACTCGTATTAATGAAAATAAGGAATGTCTTGAAGATCTTCAAAGCCTGATTAAAGAACAAACGAATACTATCGTCGAGACAATCAAAGAGCAATATTTACATACGTGTGAAGTTCAACAACGACAACACGATAAGCAGATAGAAATTTTCAAGCAGTTCTTAAACAAATTTTAATAATGTAGTACATTTTTAAATATATTTAATAATGTATCTTTAAGTTATTTGCATATGCATTATAATTAATAAAGATCTGCAAGAATATTTGCTAAATATTCCCTTTTCTGTACGCCCGCCGTATGTTCTCTTTCTTCATTGACCATAATTTCTTCATAATCCTCATTATTTTCACTGTTAAGATCGTCATCTTCGTCTAATATATCATTGTTATCGATACAAATATTGTGTAAAATACAGCATGCATGGATAATTCTAACTATTCGCTCTAAATCTATGCAATATACACCATCTAAAACTCTCCATCGTTTTTTCAAATACCCAAATGCCTGTTCAACTATCATCCGCATTGAAGATAAAACTTTGTTAAATCGTCGTTCTCTATGAGTTAATCGTTCATAATCAGAGAATGGCTTCATTAAATAAGTCCTAAGTGGGTATGCTGAATCAGCAATTATATAGGTGCCGCCTGGAACCCACTGTTCAGGATTATGAGAAATCTCATGATACAACGAAGAACGATAAAATACTCGCGCATCGTGTACACTTCCTTTACAAATTAAAATGTAAATATTAAAAAAATTGAAAATACAAAAAAATAAGATAAGTAAAAAATAATAAATAAAAATGAATAAAATAACCTGCTTCACCAATATGCACGTATGTAAAACGTCCTAAATAATCCACTACACCAAGAAGGTTAATGGAATGGAAGTTTTTTCGATTTACAAATCGTGCTCCATTTTTATAGGGAGGGTGAATAGGAATATGCGATCCATCCATCGCACCAACAACATTAGGTAATTTACGTTCTAAGCCTGATATTCCATATTCAAACCCTCGTGTTATAGTTGCTAATTTTGTTCCTCGTGGCCACGTTATTCTTTCTCGTTCTAAATCTAACAAAGCTTTCAAGAATCGATCCGTAAAATGACATACCGATCCTTGGCTTATGCCAAGTGTTTGTTCTAATATTCTTATCCCTGTCCCATTAGCAAATCGCCATAGTACAATTGCGATTTGTTTCCAAGCAGGTATTGCATTCAAAGCTTCACAACTAAAGGCTGGATGTGTTTGTAATCGCTCAACAATAATATTAAAAGTAACAAGAGTAATACGGAAATGTCGCCGAAAAGAATTATAACCATCATTATCAGTCAAGTTTGGAAAAACATCGACCCAGAATCCTCCAGTTTTAGGCCTTCGTTGATGTTGCGCTCTTATATTAGGTAACGAAAGTGCAATTGGAATAGTTGTATTGGTTATCATATGAGCGTAGGTAAGAAGATAATAAGTATCAATGATTTTTTTTTG